CCAAAATGATAAGTAAATAATTCCAATTGCTTCGAGAAGCAGGAAATCACTGCCCATTAATTCTCGGTTGATGGAAGGTATATTCAATGAGACGTGAGTTTGGGTTCATTGGCTCTGACATTTTTACAAGGGCGGCGAATTTTAAAATAAAGTATCATTATTTTAAGGAATAGGGCTTCTAAAAATGTACAAATTACATGAAAAACAATCGTAAATAAGCTACTTATATACGTCTCTGTGTTTTTTTATTCATCAATGGTGTCACATTTTGTTAGAAAATCAGCTCAATAATTAACTCGTTACAGGAAAACTTGCAGCAAACTCGACGATTCTCGTAAGGGTCTTCCATATACCGTAAAAAAAGCCAGCCTACGATCTAGATAAGAAATTTATTGCTAAAATTAATTCTCTATCTACTTATTTTTAGTAGCCTAGAGAGGGAGGTGGTTGCCGTGGGGTTTCTGGCTCTACTAAGACTCGATGAAAAAAATAAAAAATGATTTCTTGATTTTTACTTTAAATATTATTATATTCCGTGTTTGAAAAAGAATTCGTAGTTAATGTTAGACCTGAGTCATGACTCTACCGTTGGTATTGTATTCGTATCCATAGGTTCAATACTTGGTCATTATTGTACCACATGTTGTTCTACGTTTTTGGTAAATTCCATGTTTTGTGGTGAAATTCCTTTTCTTATTCGAAATTTTTGACATTTTTAATTAAATCATTTTTTCTTTTGTAACAAACAAAAATTAGTTCAATCAAAATTTATATAAAATTACAAATGCTCATACAATATCGACCAAATCAAAAAATTTGAATAAGAGAAGAATTCTTATAATTTAGCATGTTATCGTATAAATGGCGGCAAGTACTTAACCCTTTACCTAATATTATGACACACATTAGGTAAGATATTATGTACAACAAGAATAATCCTAAATATAAACATAATTAAGCTACGAAGTACAAATCAATGAAGAACAAGTCATTAATCAGAGAATCATCCCCTTCAAAATGTCCACCAAATAGAATAGTAGAAGAGCCAAAGAAGTTGATCCACTCAATATCATGAGAGCCACCATACCCAAAACCAAACTTGGACTGCTATCCATAAGCAAATTCTGCAGCAACCCTACTGCTTCAAACACATCTGAATCATAATTCACGTACCATCTCTTCTCCCACTCCATCCAATTCGCCGGTGGCGCGTGATTTTCCTCGGCCATCTTCATGTCATGAATTCTCATTCTAAGGAGAATCATATTTTCATCAACCAATCTTCCTCTCTCATGCCCTTTATCATTGCCTGCATCTTTTTTCACAGCAAAAACTGGGCTGCAAACTTTTTCTCGTCGATACAGAGCTGGTTTTCGAGACACAAAATTGCCTGAAAATGGTAGTGGGATATCCAAGGATTTAAGGAACGCTGCTTGCATTGTTTTCTTCAAACAAAAAACTGACTGGTTTTGATTTACTTCTGCCTTTTGTTGGGTAATACGATGAAATTGTAAGTATACATGTCTGAGCAAGTTTGTTGGGACACGTGTATTTATAGAGCAGAATGATTCTAGATTGCGTGTGACGGATTATTTGAGCAATTGGGACTTGGCGTGTGGAAATAGGAAATTGTGGTGTAAGGCAAAAGGAAAGTGATATATTCTAGAAAGAATGTTCCTTGATAGCAAATTTTGACCAGCTTTTACCTTTGTATTTCTATAGGTTCAGTTCATCTTTCGAAATGATCTGGATCGACTGATTCAATTAACAATTAGTCAAAAAATCAGTCGTTGAAATTTTTGAATAAGGTTATTTACAATCATTCACTATTATAGTCGTCCTACATGACATATATGTGACGATTAATGATTTGATATATGAAACAATAAAAAATTACAGCATTAATGTATCAAATCACTAACTACCACATGTATACAACGTATGACGACTACTGTAGTGAGCCATTACAAATAGGATTACTCAAAACTTTGTAATGCAATATTTTGTCGAGATCTACCAAGTATTTTAGATATTTTCCATTGCAAAATAACTTGATCGAGAAAAAGAAATCAGATTTATTGGGAATTAGGAAATCATTGAAAATAATCAAAAACTCAATTGGGACTTTTGACTTTTTGATGTCACGCGACAACCAATAATTAAATTAAAAGTCTACTTTTCTTAATAAACTAATTAGAACTTTCCGTGGG